AAACCATAGTATTTTTTTATCAAATTGATAGATGGGTCACACAATCTCAGTATATCCTGACAGCTAAAGGCAGCAAAAACCTATAATTTCTAGAAATCTCCTTAGTGGTTTTAGGGTCCTGGACTGTGGAGAGGAAAGAATTAGTTTAATTCTTTCTTCACCCAGTCTTTGGGCTCCCTTAGATATAATAAGGCCTAAATATTTTATGTCAAGGCTGCAAAATTGTGTCTTAGGCCTAGAAAAATTATAACGTATGTCTGTTAGAAAATTCAGCAGAACACAGGCGTCTTGGCTAGCAAGCTCTTCTGAGCGGGTATATAACGCTATACCATCTACATATTGCAAGATAACTTGGGAAAAACCATAGTATTTCCTTTTATCAAATCAGGATCTAGGGATGTCCTCATCTCTTTCTGATAAATAGTTGACAATTTCAAATAACTGAAGGGCTTAGTTCTCATGTTTCTTAGACCTTTAAGAATACATGCCTGAAAACCTCTTCTGTTTTAATCTTCTATCTGATTAGCAGGCCAGTAGGGGTCTTGTAGAGAAACTACTTGTGTTCCAGTAGAAACCAGTTATTCCCCTGGCTGCTAGTCTTTTGAGCTTCCAAAATTATGATAATTATTTGTCTCTAAATGTAATACTACTTGTCTCTTATTAAAAACCAATATTTGATTTAAAATCAGTATTACAGTGTTGTTTTCATCTGCATTCTCGAAAGACCAGTGATGTGGAACATTTTTTCATATATTTACTTGATGCTTTTACTTCTTTATCTGAGAAATGTCTGTTCATTTCAGATGCCCATTTTTGAATCTGGTCTTTATATTTGGGGGGGCTGATTTTTTTGAGTTCTTTATATACTCTAGATTATAGTCCTTTGTCTGAGGAGCAGCTGGTAAAAATTTTTTTCCAACATTGTAGGTTGTCTTTTAGTTCTATTGATGGTTTCTTTGGCACTGCAGAAGCTTCTTAATAAGATGAGATCTCAGTTGTTGATTCCTTCTGCTATTTCCTGTGCTACTGAGGATTTGTCCATAAAGTCTTTTCCTATGCCAATGTCTTCCAGAGTTCTGCCTAACTTATCTTCCAGCAAGTTTAGTGTTTCTTTTTAAATATTTAGATCTTTAATCCACTTGGATTTTAGTTTAGTGCATGGTGAAAGATAAGGGTCTAGTTTATAGGAAGAAAAGGGCTAAAGGTGTAGGGGAAATGGGAAGGGTAGGGGAAAGGTAATAAGGGAAAAGAAAAAAATGAGAAAATGAAAAAATGGAAATAAAGTATTTGTAAATAGGGAAGGGAGGAGGGGTGAAGGGAGGGCAGAGATAAGGGGAAAAAATGAGAACCAAGATCTGTCATAAAAAGGTACAAGATCCCAATGAGGAGTGTAACTGTACTGTATCACTAAAATGTACCAATAAACTCAATGAGAAAAAAAGAGCAATATTACATATTTCCAATCTAGTCCATAGGTCTGAGTAAGTTCTCTAAAGACCTCAATGTACATATCAGTGACATCCAAAAACTTTATTAGGTCTCATTTAATCTGTCTTAGATCACCGAGAAAAAGACACATGAACACAGATAGTCCCATATTTGCCATTTACTTCCTGCAAGAAATATTGCTTTTGAGGGGCCTGAACAACTTAGCTAAGGATGGATATAGCCTCATGGAGATTTTAATTATGGCTGGCCCAGATACTCCATCCTCAGCACCTGTGGTCCAGGTTTAAAGTTGTCTTAGAAACTTTGTTCTCAGGTTCTAGATGGTGAGTAACCACCTCAGGCTTAGAGGTACTGAATGTCTTAAGGGTGAGCTGTCTCATGACATTTACACTTGAACACAAGAATTACTTCTAATGTAAAGAAAATCTCAACATAAGATGACTTTGACCATTTTCTCTCTTTTACAGTATAATTCTAATTGTGAGATAGTATGTGTACTTGGCTTTAGGAGGTAACCACACCATGTGCAGGTGTAGAGAAATACTAAATTTCTCCTTAATGCATTTGAAAGGAGTGTGAGGTTCAGATATGGAGTTCCTAATCTGAAATAAGAGAAACAAATATGGTGTCCCATAGTCTCTGCTTGATTCCTGTGCCCCCAAGGTTTATTCCACTCCACGGTAGGTAGCTACCATCTGGAGAGACCCAGAAAATAAAACCAGACTGGACTATTTATCCTTTACCAGTCTGCAATCTTATCTTCCTCAGGTAACTCATATCCTTACTCCAGTAAATAATCTCAAAGCACAAGTTACAATTGACTTCAGCTAGAACAATCATGTTTAGAGAAGCATCGCTAGCAAACCAAGAGATTCAAACCACTGCTTTCTAGTTCCTTGAAAGAGAGAGGAAAATAGGACATTTTTTCTGCAAAAGAGATCACCTTCAGAGTTGCTAAGTTGGAAATTCTGCCCTGGATCCTAGGGTAGAGAAAGCTCTGAGAAATTTCTGTTGTCTATGCAGTCATTTAGGCAACTTTTATTAGCAGCAAGACAAGGCTACTCCTTTAAGGTCCATTTTAAATTCACTAAGTATTTGAAACTCATAGATCTTCCTAGCAACCACAATCCACATTAGTAAAGGCACCTTTATTGATTTTTTTACATGCACACAGGAAGGAAGAAAAATGCTGACCAAAATAGTCCCATATTCTAGTTAGCATGTAAAAACAAATGTAAATTTCTGATTGCTATTTTTCCCAGTGTAAGACAAAACAGTTGTTTCGAGTTGTCTTACTCTGACTTTTTGGAAGGAGGGGAAATCCGACTATGAGGGATTTTCAGATGAACTCCCAACCAGTTGTAGACAAGTTTAAGGGAAGTTTTTAACTCACTAGCAGAGAGAAAAAGTCCAAATAAAGCTCAAGCTGGTTAAACATTTTTAAAAAATCACCATATAATATTTTATAAGACTACAGTCAGTGTTCCAAAGTCCATACCCTATTGAAAAAGGTGTTTTTCTCCCCTACATACTTAAATGATGAAGACCACGCCTAGGAGGAGGGAGAAGGTTCAGGCAGTTTTTTTTTTTTTTTTTTGGTACCGGGGATCGAACTCGGGTCCTTGCACTTGCAAGGCAGGCCACCGAAACGCTGAGCTAAATCCCCGGCCCCGGTTCAGGTAGTTTTTAATCTATGAAAGATTTATTTTGTATGTTTGCCTACAGATCTGTCTTACTAGTAGTAGGGAAAGCAGTCCAAATCTGTAGCTCAACTCTTAACGGAGGCTTAATAAAGGGCTGTTAGCATCGTTTCAGATCACTCTGAGACAGAGAATATCTGATGATCACTGACAGAGTTCCCTTTTCACCTCACAGAGGAGTCCAGATAAGACAAGATGTGGAGATTTTCTGCTGATTACCTGGATGGGCTGTCAGGAGCTAGTTTCTTCTGAGGGACCTTTGGGTGTCTGTCAGAGAGTAGCCCTGGCCGTGACCCCTTAGTTTCTGCTAGTTCCATGCACTCAGAGATCTGTCTCCAAAAGTAACCCAAATGCCTGGTCAACGTTCCACCCGCCATTGGCATCAATGGGAGTGGGATTCACCAGAGGGAAACTGGAGAAACCTGTCCTTTGCTTTGAGAATGGAAGCTGCCCTAACCTCACGTCATTGGACTCTCCAATGAAACTGCACTACTGGTGATTCTATTTCAATACATTACAGCCCCTACGGTATCATTCTGTGTTTGCCTTAGTTCCTCTGTCCTCAACCCTGCACTTAACTGCAAATCTTTGTTTATCCTTCTTCCAAAATCTACTCCCATCGAATAGCTTTTCTACGCACTTTTAGATTGCATCTTCATCCTGTGGCCTTTTTATCAAGTATACACACAATTTAAGTGATATTTTCCTACTGTCTTGTGTTAGTTCTCTTGTTGTTTCACTGTATGGAATGAGACCACTAAGAGCAAGCACCATGTCATTTTGGATCCTGCACTTCTCCTGTTAAGACCATCTCCTTGTAGTGCTGTCTCATAGGACTTTCTGTGATGAGGAAAAGGCTACGTGCACTGGGCTCATCTCCATGGAAACCCCCTGCCACAAATGCATAGTGAGCACATGAGATGTGCCCAGTGAAACTGGAAGAGTGGACTAGATTTTACCGCATTTATTTTCTGTTTAAATTGTCCCATGTGGTTATTATTTTGGACAGTGCACTGAAAGGGTTATGTAGAATGTAGGTGATAAACTATTGGAGTATTGCTAAGTAAATTTATAACAGCAGAGAAATTTTAGTAAGCCATCCAGTCAGTAACAGAAAGATTGATGCATATATAAAGCAGCTGGGCCTAGGTTTATGTGGAGGCAACTATTCTTTTCTTTATCATTATTGAGTTCAATTGCCTACTCCTATATATGCTATGAATAGAGAGTTTGATAAACTCTCAGAAAACACTTCTAAATCTTTAAACATACAAATGAAATTATTTTGTCATAAGCACAGTACATATTTTCAAATTTTAGGTGGAAAAATTTCTCACGGTAGGGTCTTCTATAATGATCTAAAACTATATTTTAATGTTGAATAAACTGTATGTTAAATATCAATGGATTGTAGTTGACTTCGAACTGGTAAGGCTGTGGATTCCAAATTTGATCAGAATTAATCTTTTATTTTTTATTTTTATTTATTTATTTTGGTACCAGGGATTGAACTCAGGTCTTTGTGCTTGCAAGGCAGGCCACCAAACCGCTGAGCTAAATCCCTGGTCCTTAGAATTAATTAATCTTTTAAACCATAGAAAATTACTCCTTTTTCAATTAGCGAGAACAATTGTATTTTGAGCTTAAGACTTTGGACTTTTAAGCCATGAAATAATCACTGACCTCATGAAACATCCATTATGTACAATAAATGGAGGTGAAATAGGAAGAAAATGTAAAAGAAATATAACTGTATACAATGGCATGTACTGAATCACTGAGAACTTTTTGTACAAAGAAAAGATGGCCTCTGTTTTATAAACATGATGGAATCTTCCTTTAATTTACTAGCACTGGCTCACTGAACTGGAAATTTTAGCAATGGTCTTTGCTGCTGCCATTCATGATTATGAGCATACAGGGACCACAAACAACTTTCATATTCAGACAAGGTAAGTTTGATCGGTGTTAATACCTATGCTAACTTTTAAAATTTATTCTCCTGCAAATTATTCCTAAGAGGATTTTTGAAAAATAAAGATTTGAATAAGCGAGTTTTAATAGATTTCTAGCAAAAGTCTGGAAGCTATAACCCTTTGAACCAATCAACTATTTTTCATGAAACTTGATGTATTTTATGGCATATGTAGCAATGTTAAGGACATAAAATAGAACAAATTCTGTCTGCCGAGAACTTATACAGTGAACTATCACACAAGTCAGACATGTATTCACGAAGACAAGTCTCATAGTATATTGTTTCAGGCTTTGATTTCATGCCATTATATATTTGAATGCAATAAAATTACACTTTTGAAGAAAAATACTGAAATCAAAGACATGTAATTCCCAGGCCAGTATGAGATATTGAATTCAAATAGTTGAAAAATGAGATTCCTTTGTGATGGTTATAATGGCAGTTGTTTGAACCAGAAAAGTAATGCAGTATATACGTAGTCTGGTAGGGATGCCTTTGCAAACTGCCACAGACTAGGTAATTTAAACAACCTGTGTTTATTTTCTCACAGTTCTGGAGGCTGAGAGTCTCAAAGTGTCTGATTTGGTTTCTTCTGAGGCCCCCATCCCTACCTCCTTGTTGTGTGCTCACCCGGTCCTTTCCCCATGCACACAGCCCTGGTGTCTCCACTTCCTATCAGGATATCAGTCACGATGGATTTGGGCCTCACCTTTATATGCCATCATTTAACTTCAAGCACATCTTTAAGGATTGCATTAGTCACATTTTCATCCCTGAGACAAAATACCAGGCACTTGCCACTTAAAGAAAAAGAAGTCTATTTTGACTCATGGCTTTCAGTGGATTCAGTCCATGGTTGGCTGGCTCCAAGGTAGAAATGGAATAGTAAAAGGGCCTGGTAGAGGAAAGCAACTCAGCTCATGGAAACCAGAAAGCTGAGAGAATGCAGGATCCTGGGACATTAATACTTCCAGGTTAAGCTGTGAATGATCTACTACAACCAGGCCCCAGTTCCTAACCACACATTCATCAGCAGGTTAATTCACTGACGATCAGTCTAACACCCTGATGATCCAATTGCCTTCCAAAAGATCCCACCTCTGAAGGCCTATTGCAGATCTAAACCATAACATTCTGCTCCTAGCCCCTAAATGATCCATGTCTATCTTATTCTGATAAACCCATTTAGTCTATCTTTAAGAGTTGCCAAAGTTATAACAGTTTGAGCATGGCTGAAAAGTTGGATTCTAAAGTCTTCTCTGAGATTTAAGGCAAACTCTTAGCTATGAGCCCCTGTGAAAATAAAAAAGCAAGTTGAATATTTCCAACATGCAATGGCACAGGGCAAATATTCTCATTCTAACAAGCAGGAACGGAGGATAGAAAGAAACTGGATCAAAGCAAATTCTGGTGAGATGTGAGCTCCAAAGCTCAGGCAGCCCTTCCCCAGTGGCCCTGCTGGTTTCAGCCCACATATCCTCTATCTAGGGCTGACTCTGCTCACTGCCTTCAGCTTTTCTCACCAGACGTTTCTCATTATTGGCGTCTCTGATTTCCTGGGGTCTCCACTCTACTTTCAGGTTTCCTCTTATAGCTATGTGCCCTATCAGGAGCACATTGCCTCCTAGCACCCCAGCCTTTTCTTTAAAATGTGTGGAAGCCTCAGATGTGGTGTTCTGTATGCCTGAAAAAGTAGCACCATGTGGATGACACCCAGGTCTGCCACTAGTTCAGGCAGTAGTGTGGCCCTCTTAGACAATGACTGCAGTGCCCTCTGAGGGTGTGGATGGCTGCATTCTATGAAAAAGAGCTCTCCTGAGGCTCTCATCTCTAGGTACAGTTTTCAAAGTATAACCTTCTATATCCTTGAGACTATTCCTCTGCTACATCGTTCAGTCTGCCACTTTTAAATTCAGCTTCACACAAAATCTTTTACAGCAAGGACAAAATGTAGACAAAATTTCTCACCCGAGAGAAATTGCATGGCCACTATTCCAGTTTTTGAGAGTCCTCATTCCCCACTGGAAGCTCAAAAGCTCTACCTTTACTGTCCACATTCCTGTGAGGATTCTGGACTTCTGAACTCCAACCAGAATCACCCATTAAGCTCAGGGCACAGTATTCTAGAGTTTCTCTAGTTGTCATCTCCAGATCTTTCCAAACTCCTCTAACAAACCACATGGTCAGGTACAGTCATGGCAACAACCCTATTCCAGCCACCAATATTCTGTATTTGTCACTTTCCTGTCACTGGGACAAAATACTGACACCTGAAATATAAAGGAGAAAAGTTTTACTTTGGTTCCCAGTTTTCAGAGGATTCAGACTGGGACAGAAATAGCACAGTGGAAGGAAAGAGCAAAGAAAGCTGCTCAGCCCGCAGCAACCAGGAAACAGAGAAAGAGCAGCATCTTAGGCAAGAATATACCCTTCCAGGCCATGCCCTGAGTGACCCTCCTCGCACAAAACCCTGCTTCTTAATAGCACATTCAGGCCTGAGTATCAATCCACTAATGAATACTGCTCCCCGGCAATCTGATTCAGTCACCTTCCAAAAGGCCCACCTCTGAATAAAGGAGATGTGGTAGGGACATTTTTTATTTAAACCATAGCAAAGATTTGATCTTTAAATACAGTCACATCAATGCTTAGGACTTCAGTATATGAATTTTGGGGAGACATAATTGTCTATATTGAAAGGCACTCTAATCTTATCCTAGTTAGGCAGATAGACATCATTGCCTGAGAGGTAGAATTCAGTCTGGAACCCATCAGGGTTTAGGCTTTCTTTATAGATTCTTTGGGCTTTGACAAATGTGTAGTGCTATTTATCTATTACTGCAGTGTCCTAATAATACCTAGTTTCACTGCCTTTAAAGTCCCTGCAATTCACCAATTTACTCCTCACTTTTGGCAATATTGACTTTAAGATCTTATAATTCTTTTCCTTTTCAAAATGTCATGTAGCTGAAATCATACAGTAATCTTTTTAGACAGGTTCTTTTATTTACAAGTATATGTTTGTTCCCTCACCATGTTTCCTCATGGCTTTTATTAATGAGTGATATTCTACTTATCACCAGATGAACTGGTGTACTCAGTTTATCTATTCACTGATTGGAGGAAACCTTGGTTTCCAAGTTTTGACACTTGTGAAAAAAAGTGAAATAAGTACACCTATGAAAATTTTTTATGTGGTTATTTTGTTTGTTTTTTTTAACTAAATATATTTCCAACAATTAATTTTCCAGGTACACAGAGTTATTGTTTTGATGTGTGAGGTATGGAAAACTATTACATATTTCAGATATTTGTTAAACTATTAGATATTTTAGAACTTGAAGTTACTCCAAGTGACTGAAATCCATATTATAGGTGATCAGTACCAAATCTCAGAGGGTAAGACTTTAAAAAATCAAAGCTCTGCAGAGGTAATGGGACCTCTCTCGATGTACAGTCTGATGACAGCAGTACCAGGACCAAGAAGCTGAGAAAAAGGGACACACACTCAATCCTGTTCCTGGTAACTCCATTCCCACAGCCAGACAGACAGTCAATCCAGTCTTCTGCAGCCTGAAATGGGATGGGCTTATATATCATGGGCCCTCGATGGAGAGAGAAAGACCTGAAATTCAAACAGTGAATGTTGGGGAAGACATTCTTTCTATTCCTGGAGGGAAGGATTTGCAAATTTCCCAGAGAGACATAGAACAAAAAGAAAAGAAAGTCTTGGAAAGGAAAAACATTTTGCTATAGTTAAACCTGGTGGGACCTGGTTTAACTGAAATATTACTCATCTACATATATTTACAGAGTATAAGGAGTTGTTTTGCTTTTATTTGTGATAACCATCAACAGGAAAGAAGACGGTTTATCATTTTTATTTATCAAATCTTCTTTACATGCATGGAATCCATGAGGATTTTAGTTAAAGACAAGTCATCATTTACTGGGCTCTGTACAGGACAACAGTTTTGCTATTTGAAGAAGAAAGCAAGTGATTTGCTTAGCAGTGGACTTTTCTGTGAGATGCAGCACTAGAACACCACTTCTAGCTTCCTCTTTTTTACTTCGTCATCTGCAATTAGACGAAGAGTTCTACTTTATTTGTACTTCAGTCTGTGATGAAGAAGGTGAAAGAAGAGAATGGCCAAGGAAGAGAAAGATGAAGACAAGGAGAAAGGCGGGGAGGGGGTGTTCATCTTTCCTGATTTTATATTAAGAACCATTTTTCATATTTCCTTAAAAAATGTCTAGCAGGGTTAATTATTTCATGGGTTAATTCTGTACACACTTTCAAATGAATACAAGCCTTGAAATGACAAAAATGTGACAACACAATAAGCTTTTTGAACTATTACCTTTACATGTTGTAGAAGGAGAATTGATATCAATAATGTAACTGACATCAATAATTCTATTGTACTTTATATTAGTCAATGTCACTTGGTTTAGGGTGCTTTCTAATATGGAAACTCATTTACTGTATAATGCCGGACGGCTGAAAAGCAATTTAGAACAGGTTGGAGTTGAGTTCAATACAGAAATTTTAATGCACACCATCCTTGAAAGTGTAAATAAATGAAAGTAAGTGCTCTTTGTGAACAGAAAATGCCGAGCTACATGTTACCATGGATACTGGATGCTGCTTAGAGTCTTGTTCTTTTCTTAGAAGTTAAGAGCATCTCAAGCATTAAGACCATCCTGTACACTCAGCAGCCGTGTTAGACCCGTGAGACAAAGACATGTATTTCCTACAGTCGAATGTGGTTCAACAGATTTGCTTATTCTGAAAGGCAAAGATAGTGATACATACTTGGAATTGCTCTGATATTCCATGTAATTGCTTTGACAAACATGATGCAGCTAGATTTGGTCCATATGAAATTATTAGAAAATCAATTTTTCCTGTAGCCTCAGCAAATTTTGGAGAATACATATCTATGGCCTTTTATTTGGGCAAAAGATCTATTTAACTATCCCTAAAAAAAGAAATATATATATATATATATATATATATGTGCGTGTGTGTGTGTG